ATAAATAATCTAAAGCACTAAAACAATGAATAATTTCTCTACTATTAAAGATATTCTCTCAGTTACACTGGTACAACATGTGTATTCACACAGACGTGACACTGGAGCAAACCAGGTCCTAAAACAGCACTGATGACTTTGTAGGTTGTCAGATTAAATCACATCATTAGAAGACCCCGCCCCTTTCCTACACCTAAAGACCAGAATTTTGGAAGTATTTATGTATTTAACCATTTTATGTGCCTTATTCCCTCTCTAACCACATTTAGCTTAAGTACTCCAGATGTCTGGGGCACATCTGTCTTCCAATTTGACCTGCATTTGCCAAAGAAAAGCATTGATATGCAGTTAGGAAATATTACTGACCAACATCTTACAGAGGAAATGTTATCTTGCAACATTATAGCTTTAAATAAAAAGTTTACCAACGGAAGCTACCAAAGGAAAGTAGTTCATAGTCCTGCACTATCTGAAGAGAATCTTTCCCCAGAAAAAAACAAAAAAAATTTAGGAAGCCTTATTGTTACTGTTAAGTACTTTATGCAAATTGCTTAGAATGTCTTTTTAATATAAAAATTGTTTCTGATTATCAAGTACTCTCCACCTAGCAGTGTGAAAAGTTACCATCTTCAGGCCTCTTTTTGCCTTTACTGACATTTTATCAAATTAAGTGCTACTCTGTTTCAAAATACAGAGTTCACTTGCTACTGCCAGAGGAAAGTCAGAGACACAATTGAAAATCTGGACAAGTCATGTTGTTTTTAATAAATTAATGGAGCAGCATGCAAATTAAGCCTTCAGATGGTTTTTGCCATTATTTCTTGACAAGTATTAAAAATCCATTGTGTTGCTGGAAACATAATTACATAGAAGTGCTTCTCTGGTAAAAAATAGACTTTTTAGTTGAAAAAAAGTTAAGTAGTCTTTTCTGAAATGTGAGAGAAAAACATCATTACAGAAAATTAAAGGGAAAAAACCCTTTTAAAATAGCAATTTATGTGCAACTGAAAATTATTCTGAGGTAGGCACAGCAGCAGATAGCAAACACCATATCAATAGTTTCTGGAGAAATAATTTCACATTTTTCTTATTACAGTGCTATCTGTATGAATAAATTGCCAATCAATATATTAAGCTTTCACAACACTGCAGATAGTTTTTAACAGTAATTTAGTTATATAACATACGGAACAGAATATTCTTTGCTTCGCTATCATAGCTATCAATCACTGCTGTCATAGAGGCTGATTTAAATGCTTGTCGGAGTATACGATTTGTCAGAGGAAAAATTCTTACTTAGGGCACAACAATAAAGTTTTTAGCAAGTGGCCAATGACAACTCCTAGAAGAGATAAAAGCAAATAACTGGGAATTTAATTGCTCTCATCAGAATACATTTGCTTTTATCAATGAGCAATACAATCTCCATGTCATTTTGATCTTCCTACTACTAAGAACGATCAGAAATGTTTCTTTCATTTTCATTTCAGCCCCAGTAGATTGTCAATACTTCCCAGACACAAAAAGACACACTAATGCATGTTTTTAACACTTCGGTGTTGACTTACTGCATCGTGCCTTACCTTAACTGTATTTGTAAAGCCACCTAAAGACTACCGCTAGGCTTGACATGCAGCTGCCTACCTGCTGAATACCTGAAATTCTGTTGTACTATTCCATAGATCGTAGGCCTATTAAAAATTTGCAGCGAGGTCCTGCCCAGTACCTTCAGAGTGTAAATAGTCTAAAGAAGAATAGTTCAAAAGAATGCCACTCTTGGACTGAGAGATTCAAGCTGACAAACACAAGAGTTCTGGCAAGCCCAAGTTTTGCCATCTCTAGAGAAATCAGTAAAATACCACCCTCCCTTCCTCCCAGTTGCAAAATGGCTAGAGATCGGATACTGGGGGAAATACAGCCTAAGTAATTTTACACTAAAATAAAACAGCTATTAACTTCAAGCAATGGTATGAATATTTTATTCCTCTTCCTTAATCTATTCTCAAGTACGGGTAGCAGACACGTCACACCAGATTAATGAGACCAGCAACAATATACATGGTGGGATTATTACTAGCATTTGGTTAACACACTGCTCTTCATCTACAAAACAAGTATACAGAAGCTCTGAAAAAGCATCTGGCCTTTATTATTATGGACTCCAGTAAAACAAGAGAATACACTCTATTAAAAGAAAAAACCTGACACTAAACAACCAGGAAAATCTTGAATAGTAACGGAGGGATCTGCAATAAACTTGCAGGATGCAGTCTTCCTGGTTTTGTAATATGTGGCACTGTTCCCAGTAAGACAAAGAATTCACTGCATGTCAATAACAGATTCTTGTTCAAAAGACACTTTCAGAAATGGCTGACCTGTACCTCTTGAAATACACATGGTTTGCAACAACTCACATCATCAGTAGCAGAGGTTTGGTGGCTGGGGAGCATCAGATTTCCTATCTGCATGAGCAAGTGAGCCAGCAGAGACTAGTTATTTCCCAGGGAAAACCATCAGGCTGGGGCTTTGCAGCACACACATCCCAGCTCAATCCAGCAGGAAGAGTAGAGAGCCAGGGCTCTGCCCAACCTATGGACTATGCCCAGGGCCTTCCCTTCTCAGCTTTTCTATCAGCTGCTACACGCCTCCTGGCCACAGCGATATTTTAGTTTGTATCTTACAGAAGCCAATGGGAACATGCAATAATGTTAACAGAAAAATCTGTGACCAGACGTTTGGTGGTACGACTGAGGTAGTTTCTACAATTCCAATAGTTCGGTGAGGTCTTAAAACAATACTGCAATCTAACTCCGCCCCCAAAAAATCCATCATAATTAATTTGGTATTTCCCTAAAGCTTGACTACATCTACAGTTAAGACCACGTTTCTTAAATAAGATTTTTGTATCTTTTTAACAGACACTGTTTAAATTACTTGGTCTTATGACCTGCAGCTAACAGAACTCATGTCTTTACAGCAAAATGCTGACTTGCTGAGTCCCGCTGCAGCAAGGGCAAACTTAAGTAAGTTCTTGATAATATTTGTTTTCTTGAACCGATACAGGGAAGCTCCAAAATGTCACAATTTACACATTGTTCCAAATAATACAGTTGAACAAAGTGCACAGACAAATCATAAATCATGCTTTTATCTTAATAAATAATTTCATACGTCATAAAAGTAGATGTACTAAATACTTGCTTCTAACTAGCTGCCCAGTGTCAGGAGTTCAGATGTTTTCATATTGGCCAAGCTTACTCCTGAGAAATGGAAACTTCTATTTTATATTTCCAAAGATATGAAAATACCATTGCGGGGGAAGCATAGAAACTATGCCTCCTTCCTTAATCTATCTGTTTCCTCTGCATGATTTGAGTTATATTTGCTAGCTTAATTGAGGAAAAAACCCATTCTATTTTAACTTCAGTAAGACTTCAGACACATTCATTTCTATGAACATTAAGGTCCTTCTTGGGTCTTCACATCACTGGGAAGAAAAATAACATTTTTCTCCGAGAGGAAAACTGGGTTTTATTGCTTTATTAAAAGCTGATGTCAGTATTTCTTTCCTCAGCAAAGGAAATTTCCTCAACTCTCCATTTTCTTCTGCCATCTGTTTTGTACTAAGATACAGCAAATAAAGGGGATTTGCATTTTGTTCCTATTGCATAAAAACATCTCAATTTTTTTATCCCAGGAACAATCAAAAAAGTAGAGGCAAAATCTGTGGCACATCTAGACAATTCTGTTTTCTGGTTTGAAAGAAAATTTCTAGCTCTGAAATACACAGCAGGCACACAGTATTCCACTGGTCATGACTTTGGGCAGAGAAATGCAGTTTCACAGATAACTTCAATTTTTCTTCCAACTCTGAGACTAAACTTAGAGCTTGGAAAAGGCCAATGCCTGTGCCAAAAAAGCACACTCTGGTACATGCTGTGCAATTTTAGCCAGCTGACCTCAGTTTTCATCTGCTAACTGCAGGTAATTTTACTCCAAAGACCACTGCTTAGGCAAAGTTGGATTTTGTTCCAAACACTAGAAAAATATCTACTGTGAACAAACAAGAAATACAACAAGACAACAGAACTTACATACTGGGTTGCATTTGCTCAGTCAATGTTAATTTATTTCTATACTTAAGTGAAAGCTGTATTTAGCACTCACTTTTGTAAAAACATGGGTCAACAAACTGCTACAAAATAATTTCAACAGTTTTTAGGTTAGAGGAGAGTGGGGTTAAAATACCAATGTCTCAATCAAATCCCTAATTTTACAAAATAACTTAGGGGCAACAAGAGGCAAATTATAACCAAATGTGATCACGCTACAAATTAAAAAAAATACTACTACATTCTCAGATATCAGACTGAAAACACTGATGTCTAAAATATTTCTGACAGTGAATTGCCAACAAGTAAAGCTAAAACAGAACAGTTATTCAAATGAAAAAGAAGTCATCCACTTGTTTTACTCTCATAGGTAGCTGCCACTGTATGATGATGCTTATTCAGCACAAAATTATTTAATTTAACAGTAGAATAACTTAGTAGATGAACTGCAAACACCTTCAGTGAGTCTCTGACCAAGTAAGATGTCACTGTGACAAACAGAACTACCACCATGAACCATGGCAGCAGAAAGTATGCTTTCTTCTTGAAGTATGTTCACACTTGTGATGACAAAGAGGACAAACCTATTAAGAAAAATAAATTCAATACTTACCAAAACTAAATTATATCTATATTATTAATAATGGGAATGGTTTTCTTTCTGCTTTTCATATCAGGCAGATCGGTATAGACCTGCGCGTTTTTTCCTTTATCCTTTCAACAACAGAATACCTTAAATCCACTGTCAAGTAGCATCTGCTACATCACTGTAGTACACAGTCCTACAATTTAATTTTTTTTGCTTCTCCACATCACTCTCAACAACTTTTTGCTTTTCAACATGTCAAAACAAAGACAACCAAAGAAGAAAACCTGCACATACTGTACCTGCAAAGCACAGTTCATCATTCGCACGATATAGTCAAACTGCTGATGGTCCAGTATTGCTCGATTTTGTTTAACATGCAGGCCTAATTCCTGTGCCAGGCAGTGCCGAGCTGCCTTTCCTTTTAGGGCTCTCAGAGCTGCCGGCAGGGTCTGGAGACAAGAAAATCTAACTTTATGAAAGTGAAATTAAATGGCACTATTCATACTGAATAACATTCATTCTTTATTAAGAAACTGCAAGTGACAGTACAGTAGAGGTAACTTTGGAAATGACTCATTAGCTCAAATATCAAACTTTCACATAATAGTTAGTTTAGCTTGAGTCATTAAGTATTAAATTTTTCCCATGTTTTTTTCAAATGCATGAAGCAGCATTTCTCACCTACATCTGTAAATAGGAATGATTGAATACGGACAGGCATTGAATGGATGTGAAATCAGAAATGGATTATTGTGCATGAAAGCAAATGCTCTATTCTGTACCAGCCAGGCCAGGTCTCGAGTTAACCTATCAAGGCCAAACAGCATGTTTTCTGATAAGCAGTGAATGACAAATGGCTTTAGAAGTGGCATACCTCCCATAACAATGAGGCCACAAGACTGTTATGCAGTTTACCCTAAACCAGTGCCAATGTAATATTTATGCCAATGTTTTAAAGATGCAACAAGTGCTACATCAGTGATTATCAACTGTGGCCCTTTAGACTAGATTTAATGGGTGGTAACAGATAAATAAGAAAAGGTAGCCTAGTGTCTAAGGCCAAATTTACCATGCAGGGGGACAAAAAACTACTGAAATTTTCCAAGTGCCTGTAAGTTGAATGAGGTTAAAAACTACCATGTTACACATGCATCAAAAGAGCTACACATTTTATTATGACTTTTCCCATATGCATTTCCATAACGTAACTTCTAAGTCAAGAAACACTCATTTTCTATCTTGAGCTGCACAGCCTCAGAGATATACAGGTGATACTTTTCTGAGAAATCAAAAAATTTCTTAAAATAATTTTACAGTCATTTTCATATGTAGAATTAGATTTGAGAGTAAGTTTGAGTAATTGTTCTAGAATCAATAACTGAAAACTGTATGGGTAGAATCTATAAAACCTGGCAACTTCTTAATGTGAAAAAATAAGAATGTCAGGGATGACAACTCATTAGTACATTTTAGTGAAGACAGGCATGTCAAGCATTTACATTCATCTCTGAGTTCTATCAAATTATTGATTTTTAAAACCAGCAAAATTTACTGTACTGAGAACTTCAAAAGAGTATTGGTTGACAAACACTGAAACATCTATGTATGTCTTTTGTTTACATTCCTCCTAATCAATACTGCTAGACCAATATATACACCTTTTAAAAAAAAAAAACACGTGGATAATACTATTTATAATGGTAATATAAACTAGCAAAAAGGGCATCAACACACCCACATAGTATTACAAACAGGTTTTCAAATCCATTAGCTTCATATTACACACAGTATTGCATTTAAATGATTACTTTTATTGCTTAATTCATTCATTTAAATGGTTAAAATAATCATTAGTATTTGAAACAAGACTTCAAAATGTACTTTGTGACAAGGTCAGTCTCCATTTTCTCATTAACAGAATGGAGGCTTATTTGGGAAAGTTAAAATTTCACTTTATTACCTTCTCAGTCTCCAAAAATTTGTTTTCAAAAATGAATGAGATGCAGTTTCTAACAACTTCCAGCCTTTGTGCACTGTTGAAAACTGTGCTTCCTTTTTCCATTATTGAAACTAATGAAGAGAAAGAAGAATATACATCTGTGAAATGTCTTCTGCAAGAACCACAAAGAATACCAGAGAATTACTGTGCCCTCCATTTTGTTCTGTAAAGCAAATACCATTAGTAGGCATATACAGATGGGAAGATAAAATCCTAAATCTTTGTTTTTCCTGTAGTATCTGAAGAAAAGAGTGCTCTGAACTTTAACTACAGCAGTTGATTCTCTTTACTACTTGTTCTACTTGTCTCATACACACACAAAGAGATTCCAACCTCTAAGATACTAATGAAATATATAAATAAATACAAATTAATAAAAAAAATATATATATGTGTGTGTGTGTTCTGCGGTGAACTATGCAACTTTGCATATTTTGTAGCAGTGGATAACTATTTCTCCCTAAAGAATTCATTGGCCATGTCAAGAATTCTGTGACATGGAATAAACCTGACAAACCTGTTCACTTATCTAGATTCCAATTTGCTGAGATCTAAAGAGTATATTCTTAATGCAGTGTTTTGCTCTGAATTTTCATGAAAATCAGAATGGAAGAACTAACGTTCTCTTTTTCTCTTTATTATCAAGTAAATAGAATATAAATGCAGAGTATGCCCGTCTTATAGATAATAATGAGCTCCTAATATCCAAGGATTTTGACACACAGGACAGCAGCAAGTACGAGTGTGAAAGCTGTTCCTTGAATAAAAAAAAAAATTGACATAAAAATAACATTATTAAAAGAAAACCTTCTCTTGCACCTAGCCTTTTAAAGAAAGACAACAGAACACAAGCACATACTCTTTAAATTTTCTGTAAGTAACAGATTCAATGATACAGTCAACAGCAAAGGCAGGTGAATAGAGTTTATCTTCTTACATAAACCCAAACAGAAACAGGCCCGGAAGGGGCCTCAAGAGGCCATCTAGTTCATCCTGCTGTCCCTAGACAGGATCAACTGTATTTATGTTATTTCTCATGTTTGTCTAATACGTTCCCAAAGTTCTGCGATAACAGAGACTCCATGGCTTCACAAGAAATCCATTCAACTGCTTCACAATCCTCATTTTGCCAAGTTTTTCCTGACAAATAACTCTACTTTTGTGCTGCAATTAAACCCATTATCTCTTATCATTACAGATTATTCCCTTTCTTTTTTTAACATCCTCTTATGTAATTAAAGACTGCTATTATGTGTTCCCTCAGTCTTCTATTTTTCAGTCTAAACAATGCTCCATCTTTCCTTGTAGGTCACATTCTCCAGACCGCTGGTCATTCTTGTTGCTTTCTTCTGGACTCGCTCCAACAGAACCAAAAACAGAGACAGTCTTCCAGTGTCCAAAAATGGATACAAACAGTCTGGCTGAGGTCTCACTGAGTACCACGAAAGGATTTCTCCATAGGGTTCACTGACTGTGCTCCTGTTTATACATCCTACTAAGATGTTTGTCTTTTTTGCAATAGCTTGATATAGTTGGATCATGTTTGCCCTACGATCATTATGATCCCCAAATTAATTTCTGAAGAACTGTTGCCTAGTCAGCTGATCAGGCCTATGCAAGTGTAATACCTTATTTGAAGAACAGTTAGGGAAGGACAAAATTCAACAGAGACTAGATCTCTAATTTTTCAAGATTGATTTGAATTCTAATCCCATCCTTAAAAAGTTTTGCAAACTATGTCAGCTTCACTGTGTCCTGCAAGTTTACTAAACGTACTTGTTTACACCATCATTTACATTGATGAATATGACTATGACTAATGGAATTTTTCTGGCATTAAAATGGAATTGGCAGGCCTACAACATCTACATCTGTTCTTTATATTTAAATATAGGTATATTTATTTTGAGACAGATGCTATGTTTGTTCCTTGCCTTTTTCCAGTAATTTACATGTCTTCCACCAGTGTCAAAAGAGAAACCCTAACACTTCAAGGCCTGGTTCAGCCAGTCCTACAAAGCAACCTATGGTGATATTCATCAGACCTAGATGAGTAGACAATATCTAATTTAATAGCTCAATCTAACTCAGATCAAATCCTTTTTTCTTGTTAGTAATTATGCCACTCACTCTGGATGTTTGACTTAGTAAAGGCTGGTGCAAAAGGGCTTTTAAAATTGCGAAGGCAAACAGGCAAGTCTATGTACTAAAGTTTACTACAGTCGCTAAAAATACTGTATTCACATGAAATTGGGAGCAACACATTGCAGCCATGCTAATTATACATTCAACTTGTGAGACAGGATGACAAACAGGTAAGTTGGGGAACAAGTAAACATACCAACAGGGGGACCCGCTGGAACGACGCACTTCTTGTCCCCACGGGTGGCAGGGGGTGCACCCTGACTCCTTGCGAGGCCTTCCTGGAGGAGCTCCTGCACCCGGCACTCATTGATCCGGGGGAAAGGGAGGATGTGAACCCGCAAGTGGGAGCCTTCCGTAGGCCGCGGCACTTTCTGGAACGCTATGTGGGGATTGGGATTCTCCTGCAGGTCGGAAGCAAAATTTTACACACAAATGTGTTGCACAGTGTTACCATCTGTCTCATCCAATTCTATTGCTGTTTTGTGTATCTGCCATACCTGAGAGATTAAGAAGCCAAGTACCTAATGCAGCCGACTAATATCAAGTTTCATATCACCCTTGATTCATTACCCAATACTTCCAACTTTGTAAAGGCTTTTATAAAATTATTTCTGTCAACATGCAAAATTCCAAAATCAAGAGAGCAAAAGAAAATCACTGCTTAACTTAGGTTGATTTTATGCAGCTTAATGAATATTTAGGACTTGACTAGAAATTACTTTGACAATCAACCTATTAATTAGAGAGAGGGTTGAAGAATATTAAAACATACAATCTCTTCACCAAGTACTGAGAAATAGTCTCATCTTGATGAAGACTACGAAGGGAAAATTCATTTTTGTACCATGTTGTATCAAACTATGGCTGTCCCTCATTAGGGACCAATTTTCTATCTTCTGTATGTCCCATAAAAATATGTCACATAGCTCATTGTTTGCACTAAAAAAATGAAAAAAGTTAGTATAGGTGATCAGAGAGAGTAAATGATGGGCCTAAACTACAAGGAAAGTAAAAAGAAGCTGTCACATCAGATTTTGGGGTGTTCTCCAAGGATAGAAGAGATTTCTATTGTTGCAAAACTATCAGAATTTCCACTGTGAAAATAAATGTTTGCCTGTGTGATTTTTCACTCACTCTTTTATGGTCTTTTTTTCCTTTTTCTTTGAAAGAAAATGTGATAAGCAGCCCCAAAGAAAGTTTTTATCCTTGCTTTTGGGTTTTCTTGCAGAGGTCTTCAGAATTAAAAAAATATAAAAAAATCAAGTTTCACATTGCAGAACACTGACTTAGCTGTTTTACCAAAATAACTGCTGCATCTGCTACTACGTAATTATTATATTTGTCTTGATCTTGACATTATCATGCAATACTGAAGACATTAGCAAAATACACCCTGTTCCGTACAAAGAAATGTGAATGCATGTGGGATATTTGAAGACTTGCTCTATGTAGGTAAACTCTGTTGGTGTTTGTCAATATGCAGTATCAGTGCAATATGTGTTCCTATATGTGGACATGCATCTTCTGCCTCTGGAGTTCAGCAACCAGAAAGACCATGTACATCACAAACTTCTAAGTTTCACTCAATTGCCTCCACATTGATTTCAGCTTGTTTAAAAAAAACTTTCCAGAAAGATATCCTGAAGAGAGCATGATATGAAAATTCACCATTTCTTTCCTCATTTTTTTCCTCAAATGGTTGATCATCTCTCCTGTTTGGTTTTGTTTTGTTTTTTTTTTCTTTTCTGGCTTCAGGTTGTACCTTTTCCAAAATACAGCTGAGATCTACACATTCCATGAGAATTCTACCACCATTCACAGGATCACACCTCAAGTCTTGAGGAGTGTAACGATCAATCAAACAAACCAGGATATTTTAATCTCTTCATTTATATACCAGGTGTTATCATTAATTATGTTTGAACTTACTGTTATCCAATTTGACTCCATGCTGTTATTTATTACTGGCTATGTACCACTGCCAAAGAGTGCTACTCATTCAAGTAGGTTTCTGTTCTACAAGCACAACTAGCATGCAATAAAACTTGTAAACGGGAGCTAGCTTGATACTTTCATTCACAGGAGCAAAAGGGAACAAGGAGATCAAATGCATCAACTTGAGAAACAGCAGTCAAAACAAACCAGCTACTTAGCCATACACATTCTCTGCCGAGGTAAGTTTAATGAAACAAGCAAAAAATCTAGCTAGGGGAATGAGAGCAGCAGATGCCAGAAGCAGCAAGGCAGGGAAAGGGAACACAATCTCTGCAGGGGATAACAGATGACATAACAGAAAAAGCCAGAAAGGGAGAATAACTATTCCACATTCAATTTCACAGTGAAGAGAAATCCAGAGGAAAGATACAGAAAGGGTTACTTTAATCTTGCCCATCACAAACCTAATCTCAGCTGTACATGGTATTAGGAATGTAGGTCTAATGTCTTCAACTACTGAAGCAGCATATGCCAAAAGATTGTCTAGATCTTCCACTTGTACCAGCCAGACTAATACAAACATTATCTCTCCCTAACAAACCTTGTTTGTCATACATATCTACATTGTTACAGCTACAATACAATGACTATTTAAACTCTCGAACAAGATGTCAAAATATGTCATGCAGTGAGTTCGAAATCAGGCAGCTCTAGGCATAACTTCAGAAGCAATGTTACTCACCACAGTGCTTTATTCAAAGATAGCTGTATGCGTAACTACTAAAAATCTGACTTTTAAATACACTGTCATTGACAGTGGTAGTGATGAATCACAATGGTATAAATAAATCTCGTCATAAGAAAAGACTAAAATGAATTAGTTCTGACACTGATTTTAAGAAATAACCTAAGAGAAAAGTTGCACATATGCACATTCACTTATGCTTTATAGGCTCTTTCATTCTAAAAATGATCTATATCCACTAAAAAACAAATACAAGTGTTTGCCATCTCCTTTGGAGTAATTTAGTATCATAATACTGATGTGATGTGATGGTTGGAGGCGATCTTGGGCATAGCAAGCGCAAAATGATAGACGTTTTGATTCTCAGAGAAGTAAGGAGAGGGGGCAGCAGAACTGCCATCTTGGACTTCTGGAGGGCAGACTTTGGCCTGTTTAGGAACCTGGTCAACAGAGTGCCTTGGGAGGCAGTGGTGAAGAGAAAAGGAGTCCAGGAAGGCTGGACATTCTTCAAGAAGGAAATCTTAAACGTGCAGGAGAAGGCTCTCCCCATGTACTGAAAGACAAACCAGTGGGGAAGAAGACTGGCCTGGCTGAACAGAGAGCTTTGGCTGGAACTCAGGAAAAAGAGAGTTTATGACCTCTGGAAAAAGGGGCAGGCAACTCAGGAGGACTACAAGGATGTTGTGACGTTACACAGGGAGAAAATTAGAAGTGCCAAAGCCCAACTAGAACTTAATCTGGCTACTGCCATAAAAGACTATTAAAAAAATGTTTCTATAAATACATGAGCAACAAAAGGAGGGCTAAGGATAATCTCCATCCCTTACTGGATGTGGGGGAAACATAGTGACAAAGGATGAAGAAAAGGCTGAGGTACTTAATGCCTTCTTTGCCTCTGTCTTTAATAGTCAGACCAGTTGCTCCCCAGGCACCCAGCCCCCTGAGCTGGAAGACAGGGACGGGGAGCAGAATGAAGGCCCCATAATCCAAGGGAAAATGTTTATCGACGTGCTACACCACTTAGACACACAAAAGTCTGTGGGGCCAGATGGGATCCACCCAAGGGTACTGAAGTAGCTGGTGGAAGTGCTCACTAAGCCATTTTCCATCCTTTATCAGCAGTCCTGGCTAACCAGAGAGGTCCCAGTTGACTGGGGGTTAGCAAATGTGATGCCCATCTACAAGAAAGGACAGAAGGAGGATCTGGGGAACTCCAGACCTGTCAGTCTAACCTCAGTGTTGGAGAAGGTCATGGACCAGATCATCTTGAGTGGCATCACGTGGCACATACAGGACAACCAGGCGATCAGGCCCAGTCAGCATGGGTTCATGAAAGGGCGGTCCTGCTTGGCTAACCTGATCTCCTTTGATGACAAGGTGACCTGCTTAGTGGATGAGGGAAAGGCTGTGGATGTTGTCTACCTAGATATCAGTAAAGCCTTTGACACCTTTTCCCACAGCATTCTCCTGGAGAAACTGGCTGTGCACAGCTTGGATGGGTGTCCTCTTTGCTGGGTAAAAAACTGGCTGGGTGGCTGAACCGGAAGAGTTGTGGTGAATGGAGTTAAATCTAGGTGGTGGCCAGTCACAAGTGGTGTTCCCCAGGGCTCAGTTTTGGGGACGGTTCTGTTTCATATCTTTATCAATGATCTGGACTAAGGGATCAAGTGCACCCATAGTAAGTTTGCAGATGAAGGGCGTGAGTGTTGATCCACTTGAGGGTAGGAAAGCTCTACAGAGGGATCTGGACAGGCTGGATCGATGGGCTGAGGCCAACTGTATGAGGTTCAACAAGGCCAAGTGCTCGTTCCTGCACTTGGGTCACAACAACCCCATGCAATGCTAGAGGCTTGGGGAAGAGTGGCTGGAAAGCTGCCCAGCAGAAAAGGACCTGGGGGTGTTGGTTGACAGCCGGCTGAACATGAGCCAGCAGTGTGCCCAGGTGGCCAAGAAGGCCAACAGCATCCTGGGTTGTATCAGGAATAGTGTGGCCAGCAGGAGCAGGGAAGTGATTGTCCCCCTGTAGTCGGCACTGGTGAGGCTGCACCTCGAATACTATGTCCAGTTTTGGGCCCCTCAGTACATGAAACACCTTCAGGTGCTGGAGCATGTCCAAAGAAGGGCAACAAAGCTGATGAAGGGTCTAGAGCACAAGTCTTATGAGGAGCTGCTGAGGGAACTGGGGTTGTTTAGCCTGGAGGAAAGGAGGCTGAGGGGAGACCTGATTGCTCTCCACAACTACCTGAAAGGAGGTTGTAGTGAGGTGGGTGCTGGTCTCTTCTTCTAAGTAGAAAGTGATAGGATGAGAGAAAATGGCCTCAAGTTGTGCCAGGGGAGGTTTAGATTGGATATTAGGAAAAATTTCTTCACTGAAAGGGTTATCGAGCATTGGAACAGGCTGCCCAGGGAAGTGGTTGAGTTACCACCCCTGGAGGTATTTAAAAGACTAGTACATGTTCTGCTTAGGGACACGGTTTAGTGGTGGACTTGGCAGTGGTTAGGTAGTTTAATGGTTGGACTTGACGATCTTAAAGGTCTTTTCCAACCTAAATGATTCTATGATAATAATAATAATTTCCCTGTTTGCAGCAATTTCCCATATTTATGGGATAGTACCACAATAATCATATGCTTATAACACTATTACCCTACCTCCTGGGGAAATCAAAACTTTTAAAAGATAGATTGATTTTAAAGAAACTTTAGTGCATATTGTGTAAATTGTCCTCATTTTTTCTGCTATATCTTCCCCAAATTTGAATTCACTCAGCTCTGCCATCTGATCAAAAAGAACCAGACTAGTTTACTTTAATACTGTCCATTGACTTTCTAATGAAACAAACTGTTCTGAATGTCACAGAACTGTCAACTAATATACCTTTCTGACAGTGTTAACCTGAAAGACAGACCTGAATTTGGAAAATGTATGTTGCTATATACAGCACCACTATTAAATTAGTAGTAGAGAATTTTATACTTATTTAGAAGTTTTTATTTCTGATAACAATTTTAGCCCTTTGTAGAAGATGATTCCATCAGTACTTATCATTAAGAGAATGCTATAGGATGAGGAGGTATACCACAGAATAAACAATATTTTATTACAGATGAAATCTCATAGATGAAATGAATCTATGTAACAAATTCTGATGCCTGACGTTTCTCTTCATTTTGCACAACATACATTCTCTTACTGTAAGCCTGAACTGTCAGTGTAAGGATATCAGTGTTAGGATACTCCAATAAGTATGCTACACCACATTTGGACAAGAGACATTTCATACAGATTTTTAAATGTGAAATGGTTTTAGTCCACACAGATGTATTTGCTCTCTCTTCTAATGTCTACTATTAACAACATAGATTAAAATGTGTATCAATTCTTTCCTTAAAAAAAAAGTATAACAGTCATTTGGCAATTTCAAAGGAAAAGAGCGATGGAGCGAGTAAGTGAATGAGTGTGTCTGAAGACAGACACACCAATTCTGCAACAAAGGACAAATTAAAGCCAGACTAACCTAATTTCCCACACCTTACTATTCACACATTCCATTTACTTGAAATACATAGATGTATTTTTTCCATCCAAAATCTACTGACACAAAAGATTGCTGAATGCACTGGTTGTAAAGTTTTGGATTTCCTATGGAAAAGATACTAATTTTACCCCAAAGATTGCATGGACTCTGACAAAATGCATAGGGCAATTAATTTTGGGGAAAAAAAAAGACATACACAAACCTCCGCCCCCAGCACCCTGGAACATAGCAGTACTTAGTAATTCTTGTGATTTTTTTATAGAAGTGTAGATGTAAATGATAGTTTTGGGGATGTAGGATATAGAAAAGAAAGGGTGATAAAGGTGTTAACTGACTGCATAGTAGATATTGCTCTGTGGATATGAACAACAGGAAGTGTGAGGGGGAGGGAGATTAGCTGATGCCAAAAAAAGAAAAAAAAAAGAAATAACAACAGCAACAAAAAAAACCAGCTAATGGAATGGTAAGAGATTTTACAAAAGCACCATGTAACAAAGGCATGATAGGAAGGCAAGAATGAAAGAAGAAAGGCAGAAAGAAACCTAAAGAGTCCAAGAAACAGGCTGTAAGAAATGAAATAGTGCTTGCTGAGCACACAACCATGGGGACTGGGTTGCACAGCAGGAAAGATCAGCTCAAAGTATATGTTATGCCAAATTGGATGTACAGTTTTAATACGGAAAAGTGTTGAGAGGCAAGAAAAGAGATGTATTTGGCACGGACAGGTTGCAGCAGAGAAAATAACAGTTTATATTACATTATGTGGACACACACTAAGAAAACAGAATGATAAGTAGCAGTAGCCATACAAAAATAAATATTAGCATTAATAAATCAATATTACTATATTGAACTTCCTTCACATGTACACAGTGACACTTAAAGTTCCGAAGTCTTTTGTCGTAATACAGATGATGACTACCACAAGCAGCCATTTCCATTTTCAGATACTGGATCGATCTCAGAAATAAGAATTTTCAGTGTTACTATCTCAACTCTAAAAGTGCAGCAGGTATAGTAAACTTACATTTTTGAAGAGCTGTTCTGCAAGTTCTCGAACATGTTTTATCATTTTTGGTGGATTACCTTCCTCAGCTTTAATTCTTTCGACTTCAAAGGCTACCAACTTCAAAATAAAATAAAAACAAAAGAATAAAAATGTTGATAATTCAACTGAAAATAATTTCTTTCCCATTTAAGTTATGATGTGTTAATCTTAAACTGAAACTGAGCAAAGAAAACTGAACACTGAAAACCGTGTAATGTTATGTTGCTCTGGAATATGAGACATTTTCTTTCACTTTCTTAGAGCTTCTGTTACCAGGTTTTATAGTCCTACCTTACACAGAAAGTCCTATGCACCTAAAACATTCCTTTAACATTTCTAATACCACAATCCATATTTCTCATATATACTACTACTATGAAGAAATAATACCAAACTCTACTTGTACTCTACATTCAAAAAAAACCCAGCACAGTGAAAATATGGCATTACTTTTTAAAAGCAAAAAATGTTTGTCCCAGTTTATTTTGTTGGGTATGTGTTTAATTTAATATTTCTCAATTACTTTCTCAATGTTTCTAAGAATGTAATTAAATTACTCAAAATAATTCTGTACTAGCACATGTGATGCATTATGAAGTTCCAAACCTGACAGTAGGAACAGCATTACCATGATTTATACAACTGTTTAACTTCATATATATGAGCAGGGCATAATTTTATGGAAGTAAGCTAGAAATGTATGCTTAGTAGAAAATGAGAATTGAGAAGTTTAGTATAAACTTTATATAATAAACAGTGAGGATTCAGAAGCATTTCAACAGTTTTTCACATGCTGAAGTATCATAGGTACGTTTTAATTTCCTTGGGAATACAGAAACATTTTTCACCTCATCAAAAAGATCACAGGCTCTGAACGGAGGACCCCTCTCTGACACAAAACCAGCAAATGCCATTCCATTGAGAACTTTGGTTAGAAAGTCATTCTCAATTAAGCCTCGCTGCCCCAAGAAGGCTGCCTGCAATAAAGACAGAAAAAAAAAATATGTATTTTATCAGTATCAAAACTACAACCCACTATTTATGTATTAGCAGTTAAACATTTTCACCAGCTTATACTAGTAAGTGGTACTCTCTAATTAAATCTTTTACCTAAATTCAGGAGTGATGCAACAGGAAGTTTGATGCACGCATTTTATAAATCTCGCTGGCAATAAAAGAAAACTAGTACTTTCAAGTATTGTTTTCTAATTACATAAATATGTTTTAAAAATTCCTCAATGATTCCTCAAATGTTTCTTTGTATTAAATTTTAATGTTAACTTTGTTTCACATTTTATCACTGTCCCTGCAATTAGTCCCACTAAAATGCATTCATACAGTGCTTTGTCAAAATGATATGCTTATCACATGTAGATTATTTTATTTTTTTAAACTTTAACACTTGTTCAAAAGGCAAGCTCGTGGGAATAACGCGACACAAAGGAATACTAACTAAATATACAAAACCGCTTCTCTTTTACCTTATGGAAATGAATTACTGGTTCAGCATGAATTCGGATCAGCTGAAGACATGACCGGTATCCTTGGAAAAGTTGTGCAAATAGCCTAAGGAAGATTGCTCGCACTTCTTTATCCTGTAAGCAGTAATTGAATATGCTATGAAAACATTTTCATATTCTAAGCTTTTCCACACTTTGTATAAAGCAATCTGAGAAATGCCTACAGATTCATCAGACAATGCAGCAGTGTAGCACATGGAGATACTTGCACACATATGAAGTTATCTTATGTGAGGCTACAGTTTCACTGACCTGTCCTCAGATGGCAATGACAGATTTAGTACATATTCACCTCTTTATTCCTACTGCTCTTTTCTACACCTGCACAACAGCCTCTGGGCAATGCAAGTGTAACTGTTGGGGTGGTCATGTGGTGAACCATGAAGAAACTGCCATGAGAGAAAACTGGTGCTAAATAAAGGAAAGAGGATATTTTAGCCTAGATTTATTCCCTAAAATAAATGTGGCTCTGCAGCACTACACAAGCAGTGCCATTGGAGTGGGCAGGGGCAGCAGAGAACCATAGGAACCTAAACTGGTATTGCTGCTGCTGCGGGAGCGTCCTGGTTTCGGCTGGGACAGAGTTAATTTTCTCCCTAGTAGCTGGCATAGTGCTGTGTTTTGGATTTAGTATGAGAATAATGCTGATAACACCCTGATGGTTTAGTTGTTGCTAAGTAGTGCTTACTCTAGTCAAGGACTTTTCAGCTTCCCATGCTCTGCCAGGTGCACAGGAAGCTGGGAGGGGGCACAGCCAGAAGAGTTGACCCAAACTGCCCAAAGGGCTATTCCATACCATATGACATCATGCTCAGTATATGAACTGGGAGAAGTTGGCTGGGGAGCAGTGATCGCTGCTCGGGAACTGGCGGGGCATCGGTCAGCGGGTGGTGAGCAATTGCATTGTGCGTCACTTGTTTCGTGTATTCTTTTATCATTATTATTATTTTCTCTTCACTTGCTGTCCTATTAAACTCTCTTTATCTCAACCCACAGGTTTTACTTTTTTGTTTCCGCCCCCCCGCCGATTCTCTCCCCGATCCCACCAGGGGAGGGTGAGCGAACTGCTGTGTAGTGTTTAGTTGCCGACTGGGGTTAAACCACGACCGGGAACCAGGCGCAGAGCAGCACAGACATCACCACAGTCATCCGCTGCGGCGCTGCCGGCTGAGGAGACTGCTCTAAGTTTGCTGAGCTACTTGTTTAGGACTCTTCCAACTCAAATGTCTTCGCTTGCCAATCTACTGCAGCCAAAATAAGCCAGGGTTAGTTTAAAAAGTTTAAGATAGTAGATGTTTAAAGTCCTGGTTTATTTTGATTTAAATGAGTAAGGTAGTGCTTACATAAACATCTATGGGTTAATGGAAATGATGTGAACAGTTGGGGGCAGACTTGGGGCAGTGACATCTTTAGCTGGCCCAGATGCAACTGAAGACTGTGATCAAATCCTGTGCCACCCATGTTACTTTATCTTAGCTCAGGTACCTACTCAGACTGCTGCCACGTCCTAAAAATTGTTTTATGACCTCAGGTTTTATGGTGTCTCAAAGGGCTTTTAAAACAAACTTTAAAAGTTACAAGCAACAAAAAATATTAATGAATCAAGTAAAGAGCTGACCTTAACGAATCAGGTGAACAGCTGATCAGCTAATCAACAAGCAACTACAACCTAAATAAGTTAAAGCTTGTAATTATTTTTTAAAGAAATAAGTTTAGGTATATACAAGATTCTATAAAGCTGTCCTATTGGAATATTTTTCTAGATGTCTGTTTATTCTTCTCCGGAACATGATTGCTGTTATTCTATTTTTAACTTAATTTTGTAAGGGCTCACTTTACTGAGAGATATTCTAATTTTCTTTATGTCCAGGCTGCTCTCTACAATTTTAACAGGCACATTTGTACCCTGACTTTTTGGACTACTTGAAAACATGGTTGTTTCTTTCAGATTTAACAAAATTCTTATTTTGATACAAAATTATATTAACTTATAACTCCACCATTCAAAGTGAGACCTTAGCTGAATTTTGCCATTAGTTTAAATGAGATCTGATGACATTTTCTGTCTTCAGCAATGGAAAAAAAAAATCTTAAAGCAAGAAATAAGAACAACAAATATATTGTACCACTTCAGAGTTTTACATTTTTGAATACACCCACACAAAAAAACCCAAGGTGAGTTCTTAAATTGAATTGGCTTTTGGATTTTAGTTTGGACTACCAACTCATGTTCAATTCTAGACATTCCTACAAGCTAAAACCAGCAGCTTTACCAAGCTGTTAAGTTATCATGGCTTCACAACCGCTTTTAATCTAAATTAACTAGATTCTAGTAGAAAACTTTCTACAGACCTTTTTTGTGTAGACAATTACATATTGTTTCATTCAGGTTGAGGTTCATTAAAGCCAAATCCAATGTTAAAAACCATACAGCTCCTCTCCCAATATGTCCAAGCATACAATGCATAATAATTATCATTATTATTGTAAAACCAGTGACTTATGTTTTGCTGACACAGCTAGCACTTCTATCTTTACTCATATTTACTCTAAAATCTAGATCCTGAATGACATTTTTAATGTTTCTGAACGTTTTTTTCTTGGGGGGGTGGGGTGAGGTGTCTATAAGAGAACTTAATTTTAACATTTACACACACACACACAAAAAGACCAGTTTGTCCACTCATGTAAAATTCTGCAGCTTTACTGGTCTACAAAACAGAGAAGGAACAGGTTTAACTTAATAGACAGCAACAGTAAAAGAAAATAAGGTGCTTCCATATTACTACAAATACGTTCATAAAAACTTCTAACCCACTGGAATGCTATTAGAGGGCAGAAGTAATTTCTTTGCTCCATCAATAATACTATAAAGGATATGGACATGGAAAAGAAAACACAAAGCAGAAATTCTTAAAAGAAAGTTCGTCTAAAATTTCAACAGTTTCTACTTAAGAAAGTCAGACATAACACAGAAATCTTACCAGCATTTTTGAGTGTGATAAAGCTGTTCGTGGGGGAGGGAATGCATAATCTGCTGTTTCCAAATCAGGATGCAAAACCTAGAGAATTTTTTAAACAAAATTTTTTTCCCTCATTTTGCTGAGGAAAAGACAAATTATTTTTTTCTTCTTTCTCAAATTAATATTCACTGATGTTAAGTACCTCAAATAATAGATTGCGTTAAATTATGAAGACTGTATGGAAATAAAGGCAGGATTAATTTCTCAGCTTCAGGCTTCTATAAGTGAACTAGTTACCAAAAACTCCTATTACAGTCAATGAAGCTAATCAACATAGTTCGGGATTTTAGAGTTGATTCATCTGAAACAGATTAAGAGACAGAAAATTCTTCTCTTGAAGATAGGATTTGTTCAGAAGCCTCCAAATAAGGTGTTTTCTACCTTAGGACTTTGATAGTAAAAAGACAAACAGAACTACTTTTTTTTTTGTGATTCCCTAATGTAGAATCAATCATTCTTGAATATTGCTATAGGGGCATCATACAAATAAACTTTAAAACTAATTGGTTATTAATTTGTTAAACTTCAAGACAATGTACAGTTGAAACGAATCTATGAAAACAGAAAAGAAGCTAAAATGAAGAGTAACAATGCTGCCCAAACACTGAGGTTGAACTCTTACTAAAAAAATCATCATTAGGAAGGAAAAATCACTAACTTCCTCTTGAATAGTGAAAAAACATTTTAGTAGTGAATTACTGATGATATTAACTCTAACTTCAGAAAATAAATTCTTCTAAAAACAGGAATGTTGGCAGGAATCATAGTTTTAAATCTCACATTTCCAGTGTGTTTGAAAGCAATTTAACACTGAAACTCATTTTTCATTCTTTAAAAATAGGTGAGAGGATAGAAAATGGGGTTTATATCAAAACGTACTAGAGAAAGTGCCATTTGAGTCTGATGTAGAAGTGGCTCTGGCAGCTGAGAAAGATGAATACATTCAGGAATTTTAATTGTGCCTCCATCCAGGTCTGCTATGATTACATCTAACTGTAAGGAACAAACAAAAATATTATCAGTAGTGTATACTGTGAGCATAGTTTAAACACGCAACAGTTCAAGTTTCCTGATCTGCACATAAGGTAAACCAAACAAATTAAAACATGACTAACTTTAATGTACAAAATGCTTTTGATAAAAGAAATACTCCAAATACTTCATATTGCTGAATCTAGCTGTGAAAAATTAATGTAAACCAAAGAAAGTGAAATAAGGCCAAACTTTCCAAAGTGACTTCTGTTTCTGGATGTTCCAAGTCCATGTTCAGTGATCTAATAGGCTGTTTGCAAAAGGACACAGTGAGGACAACTGTAAATAAAGTTACATGTTTCCAGGTACCTCTGTAACCCTAGTTCAGTTTCTCCAAGCACGTGCTTAAAAAGTAAGGCTAAAATAAAATAATTGAGGATACATTTGAAAATTGTAAGTGAATTGTTCAAACTCATGACAAATACATGACAAAGCTGGAAATGGATCCATTCCTTCCCATCCTGCACTAGAATCAAATTGTTTCCCTCCTCTACTTTATCGTTTCAATGTATTTACAAAAGAATTGATGCTTTTTCTTCTTTTTCCTCCTGATTGTCTTGCCTTGCTTTCTACGGTAATATTTTAAAAACATATGCATTGTTCATATAACCATCTCTGAAGCAGAGCAAATCTCTGCAACTAAACATCACAAATGACATCATGACTATGAATATACTGGGTAGACATACTTACAAGCTCATGAATGTCATTACGAAAGACAGAATGTACGCCAATTATGAAAGGTGTTGGTGAGCTGAGAACTTCCAATAGCTGTGCAGGAAGAATTGGAATATAGGGATAACTGTGAAAAGAATAAATAAAATAAAATAAAAGCTCCTGACTTATCCCTTCACATAGGGCAGCTTTCTTCTTCTTCTTCAAAAAAAAATCTTCCTGTCACATATTAAATTTACTATAAATACCTGTATTTTAAAAACACAAAAGATGAAAGTATTTATTAAATACTTCTTTATAAAGTTCCATGCTGTTAAAAGAACATGTCATGTAAACTCCAGAAATTATGTTATAGGGTCTACAATTTACTGTAAACAAGAGTATTTTGCAAAATAAGAAAAGACTATCTATATTTGTAGCATTTATGTTATATAGATATTGTATTTGTCCACAACTTTTAGGTAACTAGGGACATTAAAGTTATGCATAATACTTCCATTTTAAGAAGATGGCTAGTTTTTGGCCGGCCACCTACAGTTCAGGCTTTTGTAAAATATCATTAATAAGAAATCTTTAAATGAAATCTTTTGCTCTGCTATTGAAATGATAACTAAACATTATGTATAGAATTCTGTATTTCAGATATTGTTTACTTGATTTGACAATTTAATAAAAATCTGTGTTTTCATCAGAGCAACATGAAAATTTGTATCTAAATTGATCAATGCATTTCAACACCTAATTTACAGTTATTAAAAATTTACATTCATTACTATTTTAGCATTAGGGAACATACTCCAAAACCCACTTACAATTTTTTTCCTTCTTATTCTATATTAAAATGAAGCCCATCTCTGAAATATTTTAAATAAAAATGTGCTACTAAAATACAAGCATCTTTTAAAACACATGAGTCAGAATTACATGTCTTCTTCCTAAAAAAGCCAAATAGCTTGACATTAAGTTTACCATTTCAAAATGCTGGATTCGCACGCGGCTTTTTGGAGAGAATCAATTAGTTCATTTAAATTCATTCTCTGGTGGACATTTGTCAGTGACTTAAAACTGTGACACAAGCTAATGTAGATGTTATCCTAGAATCACAGAATGTTTCGGGTTGTAAAGGGCCTCAGGAGACCATTTAGTCCAACCCTTTGCTCAAAGCAGAGTCAAGACTGAATCCAGATCAAGTTGCCCTGGGCTCTGTCCAGTTGAGTCCTGAAAACCTACAGGGATGGAACAACCACGGGCTCTCTCTTCCACTGCTTAGTTATCCTCATAATAAAACATGTTTGCCTTGCATCCAGTCAGCAACCTTCCTCTCCCCTGTTTTGGTTTATGACCCCAATCCCTTGTTCTCCTGTCATGCACCTCCTCTTACTTGTTGGCAGGCTGTTATTAGTCTCCCCATATCTTTCCCATGCACTTACTCACGGATCATCACTGTCAAGTTTTACCATCCAACTGATGTGGTGAGTTAAGGTTTCTACCGTATTTGTAGGTTGGATGTTTCTCCTTTAATTGTTTCCACTGTCACGATGCAATCAGATTTTTATGAATTATGTGGACAGACCAGAACTTGTATAAATGATCATGAAAACCTTTGCTCATTTGAACAAACATAGCACAAATCTTTTGTTAAGGACAATGTAATATATATATATATATATGTAATATAGTTATAAAATGTGTTATA